TGATGGTAGCAGGAGCCTCAGACATAGCACAACACAGATCATAGCTGCAGCAGGGTCATGGACCCAGACATGGTCCTCAGCTGCAGTTCTGGCCCAGACTTCACCATAGCATTGGGTAGCAGTGCAGGCCACTCAGATATGCATGGCCCCGGCTACAGCACACTCTTTGGACACCAACATGGACTCAGGTGGCCAACTTGACTCTGCACCTCCACACAACCCTCAGGGGCAACAGGAGTCATGGGTATTAACCCAGACTCTGGCTGCTATAGGGCCATGGACACTGACATGTCCCTCAGAAGCAGCTCAGGCCTGGACATTACCATGGCAACAGGTAGTAGTATGTGTCATTCAGGTCTGTATATCCCCAGCTGCAGCATGGTCCTTGGGCATCAACATGGTCCCAAGTGGCTGATCAGACCCCAGGCAACCACACAGCCTTTGGTAGCAACAGGAGCCACAGATATTAACTCAGACCCAGCTTGCTGTAGGGCCACAGACCCAGACATGGCCCTCAGCTGCAGCTCAGGGCCTCGTGTGGCAGCACAGACCACTCAGACCAGAATGGCTTCGGTGATGTCATGGCCCTCAGACATCAACAATGTCACACATTGTGACCCACACCCCTGGCTTCCTTGTGGCCTTTGGTGGCAACATGGGTCTCAGACATTAACACAGACCCTGGTTGCTGTAGGGCCACAGACAGGGCCCTTGGCAGCAGCTTAGGCTTGAATAAGCACAGGCCACTCAGATCATCCTGGTTCCAGCAGTGTCCCTCAGACACCAACATGTCCACAGGTGGCAGTCCAGATGTTGAGCATCCTTGGGGCCTTTGGTGGCAATATGGACCATGGATGTCCACATAGACCCTGGCTGTGGTAGGACCATGGACCCAGACTTGACCTTTGGCAGCAGCCCAGGTCTGGATGTCACCATGGCCCATGGCAAGAAGGCCTACACATCAGCCGACTACTCACTGCCCTCATTTCTTCCATTCTGTCTCTTTCCACAGCACATGGACTATTTTACTTTTTCTCTTCCATTTCTCAACCACATATTTTCTAATCATAATGGGATCTACCTGCCCATCACTGCAAGGCTTCTGGCTGTCCCATGGATGTCTAGCACCCTCCTAAGCAGAACTGCATCAGGGGAAGGGAGGGAAGAACTGTGGTTTTCTTCCCTAATCATGTTTGCAAATGAATTAAACAGTGAAGTATAAACTTAATCCCAGAATAAACAACTGAAACAGCTCTTAAAGGGACTCAGGTCTAGGACTAAACTGGTGTGCCTGGTTCAATGAAACTGTCCAGGACACTTCTAAAAGCCCAACTCAGGTATGTGTATTATTTGGATAAAAATAAAACTATTTAAAGTATAAAACTTAAAATTTTTACATGAAAGACAACGTGGGTTATTGGTTTCTTCTTTCCTTCCTTCATCCCTTTCTTTTTTCTTTTTCTCTTCCTTCCTTCCTTCCTTCCTTCCTTCCTTCCTTCCTTCCTTCCTTCCTTCCTTCCTTCCTTTCTTCTCTCTCTCTCTCTCTCTCTCTCTCTCTCT